CCACAGTTTCATTAAAAAGGGTATAAACAGATCCTCATTAATTACTCGAATTTATAGGCATTAGAGAACAACAGATACCTCCACCACTTTCATTTCATTCCTCGTGTCATACACGCGCAATACAAAACCGTTTCCACTATTTTGTTTTTTTTCCATAATATTTAAGTGATAAAACCTATAAATGGTTTTTAAAAATTTTGTAGTTTTTATTTTTTTTATTGAATGGGCAGAAATATCTTATTATAATCTAAAGCTTATTTTTTCATTAATTTAATGTATAAAATAGCATGCGTATGCAAGATATAGATAAGTACGTTTTGAAATTTTAAATAGAACAATATTTAATTTGTCTATGTACATGATAATCCATTTAATTCAAATTAGATCGCACTATTATAAACATAATACATAAAAAATTTTTAATCCAAATTGAATCAAAACTAAACACTATAATATTAAATTGATTTAACCATTTTTATGAATTCAAACTATATTATTTGGATTAATAAAAAAATCTAATTTTCAATAAATATATACATCAAAAATATATTCACATAATAAAATAAACATTATTTCATTTTAAAATAAGCCGATAGAAAGTGAGAATTACGTGTAAGTTGAGATAGCGTGTAAGAATAGATTAAAAGAAGCGGTATTTGGAATGGCATTGTAACGCATATTAGCTACTAGTAATGTAATATATATGTCTTGGGGTAATCACAAAATTTGGTGGTTTCGTGGGTTACAAAGCGAATAGAGAGCATCTTTTGGAAAGCGGTGGTCGTCCCGTTTGTCGAACTTAAGCTCAGTCTCTCTCTCTCTCACTTCACCAATCTCAAGACGATCTGATTCTCTCTCTCTCCCTTGTTGGTGTTTTTTGAATCTTTTGATCGGATGGGGTCGATGTTTCAGAGGAGTTTGTTTGTTCGGCTTTGGCCATAATAATAAGCTTTGTGGGGTCCCTCTTTTTTCATTATTTATTTTGTTTTTCTCTTTTATATGTTTTTTGACCTTATTCTTTTTGTGAGTTTCCATCTTTGACTCAAGATCTGTCCATCTCTCTCTCTCTCTCTCTCTCTCTCTCTCTCTCTTTCTTGTACTATAACTAAGCCAAGAAGAAGAGTTGTTGGTTGCTTTGATGATTGCAGAGTATCTAATTGCCATGACCTTTATCTCTCTTTATTCACTTTTTTTTATTTTTTATTTTTATTTTATTTTCTCTCTTACTACGGTCAAAATCTCTAGATCTTTTTCTACTGTTACTATACTCGTCTACTAGTGTAGTTTACCTAATTACTGTTACAATTTAACCATTAGAGCTCAAAATTATCGTTTATTATTACTAGAATTATTTGATATTTACCGTTTTATAGGTTGGAGGATTGTCATGCTTAAATACTCCTATATAAAGCAACCTTATTAAAGCTAATATATAATTCAAGTTTACATATATTAATTAACAATATTTTAGTAATCCTCAATGAAATTACCCCAATATATAGTAATTTGAAATTATCCACTGTTCACCAAAATTAATTAGCTTTTTTGGGATGTTGTGAAGTTGTGATGAGTGTTTTGGATTCGAAGCTCCTTTGCATGAGGATGGTATAATTATGAACATGAAAATAGCGTTTGGCGTTGTGTGTCTATGGCTTTTCATGTGTGTTCAAAGTTCACGTGATTCCACTGCTGGGAAAAGTACGGCTACTGAAAATATTTCATTGCCTTTGAAATTTGGGTGTGGCTGGGGTTTTATTTCATGCTATACTACGCTACGCCCACCTCAAACCACGGAGGTTGAATGACGGATTGGATAGCCTATAACAAATTCTGGCCTGTGGTTGGGGGGAGAGGTGAGTATAGCTAGGGCATGTTTTATGTAGAGAAGGGAATAATGATCATTGGTTTCTTGAAAAAACGTTTAGTATTATTGCTGACATATTATTAAGAAAAAGCCTTATTCCGATCACATCACTGAGTTTTAGGAACATGAGGATTAATTAGCTTATATATAGACAAGACAAATCTTTCAATATAGGTAGTCATTTGTCATTTTTAAATGTAAAGGGATTGCAGGATTGCAAATAAGTTCGAGTTGAGAGTAGGAATGACATCCCGGTCAGCTGCCCATAAAATGCACATTTCCGAATTCAAAGTCGATTACAATTTAGAAATCGAACTCGTCTCAAATTCATTTAGAAATTTATATTTACTAAATGAATTCATCTCATATCCTATTATAGTTATCCGTTTAAAATTTTAAATCTGTTTAGCATTAAAAATATTATTTATTTTAAATTTTTTAAAAATAAAAATCAAGTAAAATTTATAAAATTATTTATTTTGACTTAATAAAAATATTAAATAATTATAGCATTAATTATAATTTAAAAAGTATGTACATATAATTTTTTATAATTAAAAAAATATGTATATGTAATTTTTATCTAAGAATAAATATTTTAAATATTTTTTGAAATATTTATTAAAAGAGTAACGGGTAGCGGATACCTGTATTCTTGAACTCGAATCCGCTATAAACAGTAAAAATACTAACCGAATCCATCATAAACCCATTTTATTCACTGCTTGAACCCACTAAAATCCGATTGGATTGGATATCCGCTGGGTCGGATTAAATTGTCATCCATTGTTGAGAGTATCCATGCATATTATATAAAATTCATAAATTTAAACAAGATAATTTTAATAAATTTAAGTATAATTAAAATAATTTATAATTTTTTTTTCGAAACAATGAATGTGTAAAATGTTTTTAATTATCCACATACTTTTTATAAAAAATTAATTTACTCTCAATTTTGCATGAGACATATTGTGCCCTTAAAATTATGAATTTTGATAATATTGCATACATTTCTCTACTAGTAATAATAACTTTTTGATATTTTTAGGATTTCTATGCAAAATACTTATTTTATGTATAATTACGATTTTAACAATTTTCTCATTTTATTACTATCTAATAAATATTTAATCCATTTAATTTCACTAAGTTTGAAAAATAAAAACTTTTGTGAATTAAAGTATTCAATTGGTCAAAATAACAATTGAGTGTATCACAAAATTTTTCGCATAAAGCATAGAGATGAATTAACGCATTTAACAGAAATTTTTTATAATTTTACGACTATTAGATCAATAAAAGTAAATATTAGAGTGAAAAAAATTATCAAATATAGCTTATAGGTTTTATTGCAGCAATAATAATAATAATAATAATAATAATAATAACCCATTACCCTTTCTAGTTAATGGACTTATGGAAATACCTTCGCCTTTGCCTTAGGAAATATAGAACAATGACTGGCTCTTTGGTCTCTAGTCTCTATATGATAATTCAGTATCACTATAATTGGCTATTCCCTTTTATTAGTTATTTTATTACAAGTAAATTATCAAAATATTTTGATTCTCTTGTTTCTACTCTTAACCTGGACCAAGTGCATTATGCATATATAACTTGAGCAAAAATCTTTATTTGATTGTCCCTCCCATCATACTAAAAGAAAATAAGTTTTTTCCACCAAAAAAAAAAAAAAAAAAAAAAAAAGTGTTTTGCACTCTATAAAAAATCTTAGTTAGCTATAATAAAATAAAAAAAAAAAAAAAAAAAAAGAAAATAAGTTTTTGCACTCTATAAAAAATCTTAGTTAGCTATAATAAAATCTAATTATTTTTTATTATCTTGGAAATAAAAATAGCATGACCTGAATTCTCATCTGGCAAATGGGTTAGGGTTCTCATAAAATTGCAAATCCTTTGGTGCATGATTTACTAAAATGCCTTTTCGTTTATTCCTACAATAATTTAATGTGTATATATATTTTTTTTTCTTTTAATATTTTGACTTTTATTTGAATAGATTCACAAATTATGAGAAACATCTTAATTAGGAAGCATTCCCTCTATTCCACTTTAATATATCGATAATTAAAAAAATGAGTGTAACATATAAAAATACATAATATAATGTTTATATTGAGCCTTTTTAAAGTTAAAATAAATATTGATAAAATTGAAAAAAAATTATTAATATATTTTTAAAATTTTAAATGAGCACTTAAAGTAGAATAAAAAAACGTATATTTATTGCTATTAAAATAGAGGGAGAGAGTAATTATTTTAATTTTTTATAAAAAATAATAATTAAATATTTTAGTTTTTTAATAAATATTTTTAGTTCATAAAAATCTATAATCAATTTTCACTTAGTTTGTATCATAGACTATGCAACTTTTACAAAAACAAGCATACATACAAATAACCCTACTAGTAGATATGGTGATAATGCTTCTAGTCTTTTGGCTGAAGATTTTGAATATACTGTAGACAGGTGTTGTAAACAATGTGATTGGAGCGTGTCAATCACATAAAAAGAGTAGCGAGTGAGAGAAATCAAAGGGACTATTCCATTTTCCTTGGGAGGCTGGCAGTGGCAGAGGCAGAGAGGCAGAGATACGGATACGGACAGAGGTTTTGATGTATTGGTTTTGAGACTCCTCTCTCACTCTCTCTCTAACACTAGCAAATAGGGGTGGTGATGTCCTCGTGATCGGAGAAGGCAGATCCATGGAAGACTGTTCCCGCTAGTCACGTGGGCTCTTTTGACTACCCAATGACCAACCCATCTGCCCCCTCGCATTGTTAGGAGCGCCCCAAATTTCACCCTTCTCTCTCTCTCTCTCTCTCTTCATTTTTAGAATCACCGGTTTACTGAACCACCGGTTTTGGTTCATTAAAATTACCAAAATTAGCTTCATTACTTAATTTCAACCAACTCTAGCACGATGGTTTTAATAAATCAGGTCTAATCTCAATCTTTAATATCGAACCCACTTCAAAACTGAATGACTTAAAACTGGTCATATTGAATCGACTCTGATTCGATTTGAAATTGGCCGGTGGCCATCCTACCTTATATATACCCTAAGACTAAGAGCATAAATTGAACTGCGAGACCCTAAAAAACTTAAATAGTATAGTGTAGCACTACAAGTTACAAACACTAGTAGTACTTCACACACATTTGCTCATACCTTACCACAGCACTCACTGACTCAACTGACTCAGCTGAGTATTAGTTTGTTTTTTTTTTTCCACCCTATTCTGTTTTTTTGCTATACATGCAATCTGGGTCCATCTAATGTCTACATAATAATTAATTCGTATGTGTTATATATACATATAGAGAGAGAGAGAGAGATATTATATGTATTTGCATTTGACGACAACGTGGACTGCAGCTGCTGACTGGTATTTTACCCTTTTATTAGCCTATAAAGCTACCAGACAACGCTTCTCTTATTCAAACACTATATTATTACAAACTCCTCTTCTTGGGTTCACTATCTGCCTAGTACATATTCTCTGATCTCCTTATCTTACCTTCCCATATAGGCTCATAATCCTTTCTTTACAAATTCCAAATTGAGTCTTGTTCGTTTTGGGGAGAAAAGCTGGTTAAAGAATTTAAAGAAGAAGAAGAAATTGAAAGATATGATGCATAGGTGTTGTAGTTCTCAAGGGAACATGATGGGTCAATGTACATGTGGTTTGTTTCATAGCCAAAGCAATTCTTTTACTATGTTATTTTCTATGCCTAATCATCATCACCACCATAACAATATATCTTTTGATGAAACAGATATGTACCCTTTTGCTTCCTCTTCTGTTGATTGCACTCTTTCTTTAGGAACTCCATCTACTCGTTTAAGTAAGGATGTTGATGACAAAAGAATCCGCCATGAACGCCGCCCTAGTTCTTGCATGTCTAACTTTTGCTGGGATATTCTGCAAACCAAAAATACACCTTATGCTACTCCACCGCCTAACAAAACTAGCCGTGGAAGCAATTCTAGTAGCAATAATAACTCTTCCAATAACGATCCTCTCCTTGCTCGCCGATGTGCTAACTGTGACACTACTTCTACTCCTCTTTGGAGAAATGGTCCAAGAGGCCCCAAGGTATGTTAATTTCATTAGTAATTCTTCTCTCCAATAGATATGAGTTAATGGAGTTTGAATCCTAATCGAAATTAAATTAACTAAACAAAATAATGAGATTTCGTTATGTTTGTTATACTCTTATTTAGTGACTCATAATAGAATATAATGTAACATAATCAAAAGACATTTATAGCGTAAATGTTACATTAAAAATATTTTTGATTAAATCACATTCTATTCTATTCAAACTTACAAAGATATTGCACTAGAATTTAATAAAAGATAATCAAATAATTTTTCAGTTCAAAATATATTTGAGTATATGTTTATTAATGCATACAATTGCCTCTCTTTATTTTTCCGGAAAACTTTTAACTGTTATATTTTCATTTCTATGTTTTTCTTTTGAAAAAATAGTTATATAACTTGATGTTTATATAAGCTAAAATGAGCAATTAATTAGCTGATGTGAATTGCAGTCACTTTGCAACGCATGTGGAATTCGGTTCAAGAAAGAAGAGAGAAGAGCAACAGCTGCCAATGCAAATAGTAACAGCAGCAATGCAAGTGCATCGTCATCATCAGGAACAATGGACAATCAGTACTACTCTAATTACCAGAACAATTCGTGGGTTCAAACCCAGAAAATGCCATGCTTTTCTCCTGCTAATGAGTTCAGGTTCATTGAGGACAGCGATCGAGATTCTGATTCTGGCATTCCTTTCCTTTCTTGGAGACTAAACGTCACAGACAGGCCTAGCCTTGTCCATGACTTTACAAGATAAAAATTTCTTAAAAACAAAAAGAGTGAAAGAAAAGAAAACTAAAGAAAAACCAAAAGAAAAAGAAAAGCAAAGCTTGGTCAAGATCATGAAAAATTTCAGTGACTGCAACGTATAACGATGGTGATGTTGAAGATGTTTGTGATGTTGATGGTCTTACTCTCAGTCTCGTAAAATTCAATTTTTTCCCCCTTTTTCTTCTTTGTTTGGTTTGTTTCCTTCTCTTTTCTTTTCTCCGTCTTACATAGATGGAGTGAAAACGGGATAATCCTATGTTCTTAGTTGCTTTTCTTTAGGTTTCTTTAGCTTTATTATTATTAATATTATTATATATATATATATATTTTTTCTTTCGGTTTTCTTTAGCTTTATTATTATTAATATTATTATATATATATATATATTTTTCTTTCAGTTATATAAAAATGTCATTTATATATATATATATTTTTTCTTTCAGTTATATAAAAGTCATTTCTTTGCTTCCGTTAGTTTGCTTTCTCTCATTTTTTGTACCTTTTAATCTGTTAATTTGAATGTGATGGAGTAGGGCAGGATATGAGTGGAGTCGAGCTAAAATATATGGAATCCAAATTTGCTGTATTAAATATATATTTTCTTTTCTTGGTATAATAAGGAAATTCTAATAATAGAGTGCGCTTTTCGGCTATCGAATTTGTATTCTCACTTTTATAGAAACTGAAATTACTTAATACATCTGGCTATTGAATTTGTGTTCTCATTTTTACTGGAACTGAAATTACTTAACACTCCGTCAATATCTTACGGGTATTATATATTTTTTCATTAATTTTTTTTTACCTGGGTGTGAAGCTTTTATAGTTAAATTTTATATTTTCATGAATTTCACAACTGAGAGATATTCGAGTGATCGTCCAATTAGCATGCTGATCAGGTTCTGAGGGATCAATGTGGATTCTGAACCACTTACTGTGCTGTTCAGTTCACGGAAATGGGTTTTGTCCTCTTAGCTGTTAAAATTTTGACCGTCAATTTGGCCTCTATTGCACAATTTGCAGTTACCTGGCATTTTCTGATTGGGTTTTTCTTCTTTGTCTTTTCCATCATACAGAAATAGTAGGGATAACGCTTACCTGCAATTATTGCAAATAAAATCATAAGTTTCAAATAAAAATTCTTAAATTTATAATCTAACCTAAAAATTTTAAATAATAGTACTTCCTTTTACATAACAGTTTTTATGTCGTATGTAATTATTGAAATGAAAATGACATACAATATTTTTTGTTTATTTTATAAAAAATAAAATTAAAATGAAGTAGATATAAAATCAAAATCACTTAGCCTTAATTATAATTCATAATGACATGAATTAGATGTCAATATTTTAATTCAATACAGAATAATATTAATAGCATAATATATAAAATTATAATTGATATATGATACAAGTTACAGATGATAATATAAAATTTATAATTATATTATTTAATATATAATTTTGGATGCAATTATTAAATTTATGTTTATATAGTTGCATAATAATACTTCATTGTTACAAAATAAGTTGTTGTAAAAATAATATTTAACAATTATATTTGCATGGTGTTAAGAGAATCATAATTTTTTAATTTATTTAATTTTTCCCAGTCATAAAAACCCTATAGTAAACATTTCATAGTGTGAAAAAAGTATTGGGAATATAATGTAATGACAATGATCATTTTTGTAAGTATTCCATGTTTAGGTCTAATTACTTGATAATAAATGACCCACGTTTAAGTATCCTTAAATTATATAGTAATAAGTATAAATTACACTATATTGTATACTAAATAAATATTATTTCCATCCCAAAACCAAACAACGGTCTATTTTTTTCCTCCCATATTCCACGGTATTTATATTTTCAAATCATTACTAACCTGTTTGCATAATACTTGTCACATTTGAGAAAATAGTTGTAATATTTGTGGTTTCAAAGCATAATAGATATTTTTTTCATGCTTACCCTTTGTATATAATAAATAATTATTACTTCCATTTAATGATTTTCTTAGAGAATTAGAATTAAATTAAGGGTAATATAGTTAATTTACTCAATAATTTATTATAACCTAGACAAATTTAATAGTTTTCGTAAGAGACGTGAAATTTCAAATGTGATAAGTATTATGGAACAGAGATAGTATTTAATACTCTCCATTTATAAATGGTTTTTTTAAGTAATTACTAATGTTTTGTTATAATGTAGGAGAATTAATTACTTCTTCAATCCTTGCGCAATAACCTTAAATGACTTGTATTATTACATTTAATTAGATAAGGGTAAAATTAAAAAAAATATTATTAATTACTCATTGTATTTTCAAAAGAACTTATAGTTATAGACAAAAAAAACTACGTCAGACAACAATTTATATTTATGGACAGAAGCAAATATATATATATATTTATGGACAGAAGACAAATATATATATATATATTATATATATAATATAATATATAGACGAGAGAAGAGAAGAGAGAGAGAGAGATGAGAGAGCAGAGAGAGAGAGAGAAGAGAAGTATATATTTAATGTGGATGAAGTTAGGTCAAAGTAATAGTAATTAATCAAAGAGAGAGAGAGAGAGAGAGAGAGAGAGTATATATTAATGTGATGAAGTAGTCAAAGTAATAGTATAATGCAATATGGTAGACAGTGTGCATGTGTTGTATATAGGCAAGGCAGATAATACTTGGATTTGAACATTTACCAAGGAAAGGAATTGTTGTCATGCATCATGTGGTTCACGATGCTAAAACTCAAATCGAGGTTTGGTTTTATTTTTCTAGTACACGACCATCATTAAGACAAATTCTTGTTTCTCAACAATTAAATAATTGCTTAACATCTTATCCAAGGATATTAGAATTTCTAATTCCAGTTTTGAGATTCGCAAAAATTATTAAATTGGACTGCTCAATGCCTCTTTTGTAAGCCCCAATTTGTGAAAGGCAAAGATTACTATGCATTAAATTTTTTTTTTCCCCTTTACGATCCAAATAATCCAGAGACCCTCAATTTAATTAGAAGGGCTATTTACCTTGTTTATCTGAATTTTTACTTGTTAATATCTTCAAATGCCTAAATTTTTTTTTAGTAAAAGTAACAAGTCAAATGATTATTTTAACAGTAATGAATACAATTTATATAATTTTTATTGACCTTTATGTTACTTTATCACGAGAATAATTAATTAGTAAAGATATTTATAAGGAGACATAGTAAAATAAGTTGAAATTCTGTCGATAATCTCTGTAAAATTAAGAATTCGATCTGTGGAATACTCATGGAAATAGAAGTAATGAATCATAAAATGAAACTAGTCTCATGTGTTGAAGGGTGTAAGAATATTTTAGAAATCAACAATATTAATAATAATTAGTAAGGATGAATACTATAATTTATAAATGAATTTGCATTAAAAAAAATCATTTTTAAGTGATCTTTCTTAGTTTCCGTGAAGAACCAGTAAAAACTACTGGAATTTATAAATGAATTTGTATTGAAAAGTGTTTAGTGATGTGATTTTTAGTTTAGATTGTGTGAATAAGGACTTTAAACATGCAAAAGATGGACCAACATTCAGAGACTGTCTTCCTTTTTGGGCTCAAGGTCTAGGAGAGAACTATTCAATTGCTTTTGTTGCTGACTAAGTTGAATTTATTATTATTATTTTTTTATAATTAGAATATGTAATTTTCGTGAGTTTAATTTTTGATATAATCGGAAAATATAATATCTCTTGAATCATAAAATATAAATGTTTTTTACTCTTCCAGCAAAGTGTGGTTCTCGAGGGATTAAATTTGTGTTTTCACTCTTATGAAGTTGAGGTCGCAACACCTTATCAATTGACTAAATTCAGTTTATTAGTTAAACAAGAAAATTAGTAATTTAGGGGTTAGAAAATTGAATTTATTTCTCACATTGTTAATTTTTAACGATATAGTTATTATTTAGATTAATCATAAAATCTAATACGTTTATAAGGTGTAGATTTGTTTTGATGGAGGATGCTAACTTGAACTTGAATTCGAACCATTCTAAGTTTGATTTTTTTTTTTTCTTCCTGGTTTGGAGTAAGAGGAGGGGCTGGTTTTCAGGGCAAGTTAACTAATGAGCAATTGGCTAATTGAGGGACCGGATTTGTTTTGTTGGATTTGGTACCCATTCCAGTAGTGGGTCAAGTAGAGCATAAGGAGAGGCCTAGGCCCACCATATTTCGGTTCCTCTGATTGAGCTGCCATCGCTACCCGACCAGGCACCTACCTGATTTGATCCAATTTTTGAAAGGTTGAAATAGCTAATAAACGATTTTTTTACGGGTTCGAATAGTAAATAAACAGGTATGAGATGAATTCAGATAGTAATTTTACTATTTATTCGGTTCAGATTCAAAGACTCAGGTACGTATTATCCGTTTATTTAATATTCTACAAATATTTAAAATATTTATTTTTTTTAAAAAAATTATATATGTACTTATTTTTATTAAAATTAATGCTATAATTATATTATTATTTTTATTAAGTCAAAATAATAATTTTATAATTTTTACCTGCTTTTTCTTTTTAAAAATAAAAATATTCTTAATATTAAATAATTTCAGATATTTAAACAGATAATTTATAATTGAGTTGGGAGAGATTTGGATATTAACAATAAATTTTTAAATGGGTTGGGTGGTTGATTTTAGGCGGGTAACCGACGGTTACCATCCCTACGCAAGATACGCAACCATGTATGGAGGTACCTAGCAGTCATTCCTCAACATTCCACTTTGGACCGAAAGAAGAATAAGGTGGTCACAGTTGGTGCTGGTTACAGCTATAAATGAGGCACAAATTGCTTCTCTTAAATCACAAAAAATTACAAAGTATAAAAATAAAATTTTTTGATTACTTCTGTTAAGTCTACTAAATAAACTTAACATTGATATAAAAATTAAGTCATAGGTTATATCCATGTTGAAAAAAATGCATATGATAACTTTAGAATTACATATCTAATACTTTATAGTATAATTTTAACATAAATAAATGCTCTTTTTTTGTTTACAAAATTATATAACTTGAAGCATTCATAAATTCAAAGTCGTTAATTGACTATTATTATTAATGTTCATATTGTACCATTTAAAATGAATACTAACAAAATTAAAATTTTAAGTTATCTTTTAAATTAAAATTATAGAAATTAGAGGTTGGGTTTCATCATATAATAAAATGTTTTCACCATATTGTAATTTTTATTATGGACTT